CCTATCCCCTGTNTGCCTTGCCTCCCACGACTATATATATATCTTTTGATAAGATAATTTAAAAAAGAAAAAAGGAAAAAAAAAAGAAGATAGATCTAGGCCTTTTCTAGTTTATCTGTTTATACTAGAAATAGACTTCATCTTTTTTTTATCTTATCTTTTGTTGTTAAACCTTATCTGCATAGCTTATAATTATCTTGAAATTATCTTCTTCTTTTTCTTTTAGACACATCTTTATCTTGTTTTTTTTAGATAGCTAAAAAAAAAAGGGTAAAAAAATAAGATAAAAAAATAAAAAAGGGAAGATTTTTTATACATAAATTTCTAGCCATGTATGTAGTTCGTGGTGACTCAAATACTGAGTCGACTGCATCATCTAGGCTCCCTAGGATGATTAGACCCACATGACTTTATGACTCAATTCTTTAGGCTTACCCTGTCTCAGGTTAGTCGAGATCAAGCTCCAGTGGATCCATTGTCTCACACCCAAGGTTAAGCATAGCTAACACATCTGTAAATTAATCGAGCCGTAGAGTCCAACAAGTATGTATGGCCCGAGGCACCCTCAATAGTCAGAGCATTCGATTCGAGACGAAATAATCAGGGTTAAACTCACCTTCATCTTCTAAGTCTAGGTCTAGAGAAGATGCTGCCCAGTCAGGCGCACACCCCCCACAAATGTCCAAGTCAAAGGTTGATGCTGCCCAACTAGGGGCACACCACCCATCTATGTCAAAACCTAGAATTGATGCCCTCCAATTAGGGGCGCACTACTCACCTCCTCAAAAGACCCATTCTAGAGGCCACCAACTTAGTAAAGTCTATAGAAACCCAGATGATGAACTCATCAGGTAGGCTAACCTGTTAGACTTAGAGTACTTTCGAAGATTAAGTCAGGGCCCAAGCATGGCTAGCTACCAAGAGTTCATCAAGACATATCTCTTTTCCCCAAAGTTCACCATTGTCTAATTCTATGGACTACGAGTCCCTTTCAATCTAGTGTCTTAAGAACTTACCCGAGGTCAAAGCTTTCTTGAGGTGTGCTGCCTTGTTGAATCACACGTCCCCCCTAGTGCATCGAGTTGTCAGTCAAGTCAAAGTCAAGGGACCTCTTTAGCCACTAAACAACAAAGTCCTATGAGTTCCACCGCGTCGGCGAGCCGACACCGTCAATGTTCTCGTCGTTCATCTTTCATCGAATTGGCTCTACCACGGCAGCGCCCATCCCATAGTCAGTCTAAACTTGACCCTCCTCATGTCATGTATAGTCATCCACCAGTGCAACCTCTTCATGCTGCCCCAGTCCCACACCATCAGTCGCAGGTAGCCTATTCAATTCTTGTTCCAACTCAATATCCACCTAGTTAACCATACCTGTCGGATCCATACCTTTTGGCCGCACCTCCGGCCTCCAGTCATCCTTACCCGGGATATCCTGTGCACCAGAACCCTATTGTCCAATTTCATGTGCCGACACTCACTCGGCTCCTCCATTCCAAGTCGCTTCTCAGACCTACCTGTATTATCCCCTGACTCAAGCCTCTATGTCTGCACCACCTCTCTATCTAGATCCAGCTATCTTGCAAGTCCAACCTATCCCTAGTCTGGTGCAGCCCATATCAGCTGCGTCTCCTGCACCACAAATTATGCCATCAATTTTGGGAAACCAACAAACCTCTGAGGTTAAAAGCTCGGAGTTAGTTGAGCTCGCCCAGTTGAAAGGTGAATTAACCACATTTAAAGAGACCATGGCTAAGATTAGAGTCTCAAATATACTTTCTCCAAGATCTTACGTCAAGGATGTTCTTGGGGATGTCGAATCTCTTCCTCCGAGTTTCAAATTCCCTTAGTTTAGAAAAAAGTTCAATGGGAAAGGTGATCCGAAAAATCACATCATCGCTTACCTATTGGATGTTCCTGCACTTGAAGAGAAACCTCGCCGTCTCAAGGTCATATTTCAGTACACTCTCTCTGGACAAGCTTTAACATGGTAGTATCAAAATACCCAAATCAAACTCTCGATGAGTTGTTTCAAAGTTTTGTTGAGCAATATCACGGGACCAAAGAGAGATCAATAACCCTTGGCGACTTGGTCTCCACCAAACACAATTCGTGAGAGTTGTTAACAGATTTTGTCCAACGATTTAGAGAGGCTGCAGCAAAAGTCATTGATTGCATGCTTTCTGAAGCCTCTAAAATCGGTATGGCTATAGAGAATGCTTCCCCTACCTCAGTAAAAACATTCGGTCTTTCTCTTTTGACTCAATGCAAGAAATGGTTTCACGTTATGAAAGAGCAAATGAAAGGGTCCGAGATCAGTC